ATAAGATGTCTGGTTTCAGTATGTGCTCACTGTAGGTATGTCCCGAAAGGTATAACAAAATCTGGAAGAAAATTCAGATACTTTTTAAGTTTAAAATCAGTATAATACACTGGAAATTGAGAATTTTTAAGAGCTAGTCTTTATTAGACATTCCCTGTGCCATAGGACTATTTCTTCTCTATTGTCACATCTCTGCCCTCCGTTTTCTTTACATCTGTCCCTGCCAAGCTGCCAGCACAGGACATGTGAGTGATCTACATAACTCAACTCAAACCTGGAAAACTAAAAACATAATTACTACTACTATAAGTTATCTTCCTTTCTATAAATGACTATGGCTCAACACTCCAAATAAAAAGAGGCCAATTAAGAACTGGAAATAGGACCGAGAAGGAATTTTGGTTTTCGGTTAAGATGGTTCAGTTTGAAAATAGGAAAAAATTAAAAACTGAATGTGTAAGTTTTCCTGGAATATGGCAACAGGTGGTGTCATCTACCTCTGAGAAACTGGCTGATGACAGTCACTTACGGTTACAAAATGTATGTTACTTGTCTCCGAATTACTGTGACGTACGTAGGTCGTCCCTCACTCAGCCCTGTTATGAACTGAACTGCGTCCCCCCACAATTCCTATTTTGAAGCCCTCACCTCCACGTGACTGTATTTTGAGATGGCATCTTTAGGAAAATAATTAAGGTTAAATGAGGTCATCAGGATGGGACCCTGATCCTATTCCATTGGTGTCCTTGCAAGAAGAAGACGCTCCAGAGATCTCTCTCTCACGCGCACGCACCAAGGAAAGGCCACATGAGGACACAGCAAGGAAGCGGCCATCGCAAGCAGGGAGAGAGCTCTCCCCAGAAACCAGGCCTCTTGACTTGATCTGGGACTTGCAGACTCTAGAACTGGGAAGAAATAAATGGCTGTCGTTTAAGTCACATTGCCTAAGGTATTGTGGCAGCCCGAGCAGACTAACGCAAGCTCTATTTTCCTCAGGTACTTACGTACCTGAGAAAAAGAATCCCCCAGCTCTGACATTTTAAAACAGGGGTGGGTCCTTGCATTTCTAAGAAAATGAAATTCTCGGATGCTACATTAGAAAGCAAATGGTCCTGCTTTACTGAGAGAATACCACTGCAATCTTTGGATTGCAGAACCCACTGAACGTTTAAGTAAAAATCGGAGAAAGTGAAAAATGGGTGTTTATCAAGCAGCACAAAACAAATGACATATTCAAAGCCATTTTGAAAGCTAACCCCCTTGCAAAGGGAGGTTTCAAGAGAAGGAATACAGAAAATTAGTCAACAGTTCAAATGTTATTGCCTCATTCATTTACTCAGCAGACATTCACGGAGTATTCGCTATATGCCAAGCAGTATTCTAGGCATTGGCAATTCTCTACCCCACTGTGGTCCGTTTCCTAGGAAAATTGTATTTGCCTACACTTTGAGGTGGATAGAAAGACAGATTCTTCTGGAAAAGAAAAAAAAAAAAACAACTTAAGGAAACGGAAAAAATAACACCCTTAAAAGAATTCAGTCATTTACCAAACAGGTACTAATTAAGTAACTACTTTATGCTAGAGAACGATGGCATGGAGGAAGAAAGATCTGGGATTTTTAAGGAGAAAAAAAAAAAAGATATGATATCTACATAGGTCTTCAAAGAGATGTTTGATTAAAATAAATCTAGAAAGATTATAACTCCCTTTAATAATCTCCATTATAAGATAAAATTCACATTATGCTAGCAAGATTCTCTCCTGAAAGTATCAGTATGAGTGTGTTGATCAGGAGCCATCCCGAGTAAGCCATCTCAGAGCCGGCAGCCTTGGGCAGAGTGAGAAGCCATGGGAAGACTTGTTGGCACAAGAAGCCAATTCATCTGTTTATCAATTTTAGCTCTGTGCTGGGCCCTGGGGCTACAGAGAAAAATACAGAGCCCGAATCTTCATACAGTTCAGTCTAGGAGGAAGAAAACTTACAATATGGCTATAGAATCAGACTGCCAGGTTGGAGACAGAAGGGCAAGGGCCAGGAAGAGAAGGAAGCCTCTGAGCCGAGTATGGATATAGAGAAGGTGCAGATGGCCTTCCTGGCAGAAGGTTGGAGTGGGTGGGGTCCCAGGCCAAGGGAGACACCCAGGCTGGAGATCTCAGCTGGCACTAAAGCAGGGGCAGCCTCACATTCCATGCTAAAGGTTTCACATTTTAACCCAACGTCCACGGGGAGCCATTGACAGATTTTAAGGAAGAGAGTGACAGGATTAAATATCTGTTTTAAGAACCTTGCAAGAAATCACAAGAAGAGTTTGGGAGGGAGAAGAGGCAGTACTGTGGCAGGCAAGGATGGTCAAGACAGTCATTCCCACAACCCAAGCAAGGGATAGGAAGGGCCTAAATTAGAGACTTGGCAGGAAAGGGAAGGTACAAAGCACCATGATGCACATCCTTGGAGATACAAAAAAAAAATCGAAAAAGACATGGATGATCATCATCTTCACGAAGTTAGGGGGGTAAGACACATACCACGTGGAAGGCTCATTAAAACCAAAACGTGGAATGTGATGCGTGAAATGAGTGGTACAGATAACAGTGCCATCACACAAAGCAGGGTGGTGACACAGAGACCAGAGGCTGCTGTAGCTGGGGTCTGAGGGTGTGTCTGGGATCGGGGGTGAGGGTGTCAGTTGTAGATGGTGCGAAATTGTTCCACACGAGGAGAACAACTCATGAAGAAGCCCAGCACAGAGTAAGTTAGCCAGGGCTAGACTAAGAAATGGAAGAATAGTGTTGACGGGCGGTGAAAGATAAGGTGAAAATAATTTAGGAGCAGACTGTGGAGGGTCGTTGGAGTCAGAATTAAGGGGTTTAGGAAATTAGACTTCATTCTTCTTAAAGTGGAGGTCCAGGGAAAGGTTTTTTAGTGGGTCATAATGGGTCTTGATGAAAGAGATATTTTGAAAAGAGTCATCTGGTGATAGTGTTTAAGATACAAGGGAAGGAGCCAAAATGCCTACAAGGAGATAAGGCCAGTTTGGAGGCTCCTGTATCAACTCAGGCAGGATAAGAGCCGGAACACTGTCGGACTGAAAAGAAAGGAAGGGGGAAAAAAGAGATTTCACGAAGGACAGATCTTCAGAAACTGTTTGCTGGATCCTTAATCTCCGTTTCCAAGAAGTCACATGTGTTAATTCTTTTGTTATGGGGGCCTTTCCCGAACCACCCCGCTTCGGACAAAGCCATTTTATAATCACTACTCTTGTACTTGCCATGCACAAGTAATTACCGGTCTGGGTTGTATTTGTTTTTTTTAAGTGACTGTGGCTAAAAAATTGAGGATAAAAAGAAGAGATCAACCTTTGAAGCTCTGCCCTAGGTGGAAAAATAAAGCAAAACCAGGTGTAAGGGGAAACCACGGATTTGGAAATGAGAAAGGACCACGAGGTGATTTTCCGTACATTTTTCTCATGAAAGTATAAGTATTCCTTATAGAAATACTTTCCCTGAGGAGAGCTTGTTCACACACTCTAATTAGACCGGGGATGTCAAAGTGTTTCGAAACGGATAAAGCATTCATACATGTGTTAGGTATTATAAGGAAAATACATGTTAGTGCCCTATCGCTTTCTCTGACATATTTGATCTTTGCTTTAAAGATAATGCTACCGACCCACTGTTACTCAAGAACACGTCAGTCACTGGTGAGATAAGCTGGAGATAAAGCATGTCCATTAAAGTGACATATAAATTTGCTCTATGAAAATAATAGGCTTCAAGGGCTTGAATCTAAATCATTGACCTCATAACTAGTCATCTATGTTAATCAACCCAGTTATGAGTTAAAACAAAAGTACCGTCCCACGCTCTTTTCAAACTACTCCTGTGTACTAGACTTTACTACTCAGAATCAGAAGATTTCATATCAATTTTCATTAGTTATAAAACTCTTATGCTTCTTGTATAAGGAACAAAACTAACAAATACTCTAATGTCAACGCTGAATGACTTTCTAACTCTTACCTTTCTTCTCTTTAAAAAAAAAATCTTTTTTTATGTTTGCTGAATATTAAAAGAAAGAAAAATACTATGTCAGTTGTTCGGGTTCATATAAGACCTAATTGCCTCATATACTCTAATTTTGCCACCAGTTTACAATTAGCATGCATTTCTCATGCATGAGTTGACCCAATTACATAACAAATTTTGCCTTTGGGGATTTCTCTTGACTGCTTGTCTTCTGCCCACCATACAACTCAATTTCACACCGTCAGCACCCTGAACACAGCCACAGTCAGCCTCTGTCAGAATGATTTATTTAAATTACAAACAGAGACCAGATCCCTAGATAGCGTCCCTACCCTCATGATCACCCTTACACTCAACCTAACTTTGAATCAAATCTTTTAATAGTTCATAGATACTGCTATTCAATTATTAGGCCATGTTTACCTCCAATAATCTAATATTTTAAAGCTGACTCACAGAGTCTCTGGGAATGCAGTCAGCAGTATCTACTTGAGCTTATTAATGGGCATATAATTTATTTTGCATTCTAAGAAGTCAATGAGAAATTATGTAGCTGCATCAATAAAACTAAAAATAATTACATTTCAATATTAAATTACAGAAAGACTCTTTTTTCTATAATGTTTTTTTCTTTTTTTAAAAAAAAGGCTTTGATCTTAGCTTTTCTTGTCAAGCAAATAAGAGTTTCTTAGGAATGGGCATGTGAAATTGAAAATAGTAGTAAAGAAGGTATTTAGGAAACAGAATAGATAACTAAAATTGTAAATACTGACAGGGTAAGGGAAAGAATATAGAGCAGGTGAAAATACTTTCGTCTATGTTGTCAGTGATCTAAGAAAAGGGTGTTCCAAAGATTTCCACTGACGCTAACACACACGGGCACACGCGCACATATATGCAGAATGCATAATTCTTTCCCCTGCGAATAGAGGACAGGAACAAATCTTGACAAATCATATAATGATACACTTACTATTTCAGTCAGTCTGTATAATACAAGATTTGTCATCTGGGTTTTTCTTTTCCTTCCTCTTTATATAATATTTCTCCATCACCTGAAATAAATCAGAAAATATGCATCTAGATTTTATCTACAGCACAAAGATTGTAAAAGTCTCTCAGAGATGGACTTTACCATTTTATTTCACAATTTACCCACAGACTGTCTCAGCTAATTGAAAGTGCAGCTTATATTAGTGTATAAGCAGGCGGAATGAAACACATAAATAATCGTCTCAAGGATGGATGAGTGATTCTGCCTTGCTCTCCTGCTGCTGGTTCCCTGAATGCACTACTTATAAACTTGAAGTTGGCAACCACCTGAATAAGAAACAGCCTTTACAGGCTAGAGCTGTAAAGACAACGGGGGTGGGGGGAGGGGAGTGTTATTCTCTTTTTTAAACAAAACTTTATTAGTAACAGTTTTCAAATATGTTTACCAAAAAAAAAAAATTTTTTTTAAATGTCCAAAAGCACAGGGATTCCTCAATTCCTCTTAAAAAAGTTTTCCTAAAATGTCACTAAGTAAAAAAACATGGAGATGTACTAGGACATTTCTGCCATTTCTGAATTTATGTCCTAGAATTGGGTAGGGGGAGCAGACAATTAGACCTCTTCTGGAATTGCACGGAAAAAAAATTTTACTTGGAAATCAGTTCTGTTTCTTTCCAACCATTCAGTAAATTCTGAAATCCTGCCTCTTTTCTTATTCTTTCTGCAGCTCTACTAAGTGAGTAATATAGCAGAAGGACTTTAAATTGTGGCATTTGATGATAAATCTCCCAGGTTCAATATCGTCAAAAGAAGGAAGTCAAGACTAAACCCATTCTCACCCCTTCATTACATACAATTTCAAATTTAGAGCTGTATTTTACCCAACAGCTCAGTAACATATGCAGACGGAGTGAACGTTTCCAAGTGATTTCAAATCCTGGACAAATGAATACGGGAGTGTCTGAAAAAATTTCACAGAACTGACACAGACACAAGCAATCAAAAATGTCCATCCATCCAGAACGTATTACCCAAAACACCCAGGAATTGTCATTAAATCCACCGTTTTATATCTTTATATTTTCTTTAGTCCAAAGGGGAATAAAGGCAGCCTAGAAAGATCCAGATGATATTCAAAGATAAAAATCAAGTAAAAAAAAAAAAAATAAGAAAATGAAACAAATGAAAAAACAAAGGTTGCGAAGACCCTGACTTAGTTAATCCACCTACATCAATCTATATTAAACTCGGAGCTCAAATCTTATATCCCTTGTCATTTTCAGGATGAGTTCACTTCGTCCCAGCATCTCCAGCAGGAAGATTCTGGTGTCTGTCCAGTCTGGACATTTTCTCACCTACTTCCTCTCAAAACAGACACAATCCAGGACACTGCCAAAAATATCTGTCTGGATTTGGCCAATATATTTCAGTGTTTGGGTTTATCTGAAAATAATGTGGAAAAATGAACTAGCCAAAGTACCTCCTTGCAGATTAATCCAAGTTTCTTATAGAAAAAAAAAAAGCGTTGAGTAATATGGAAAACCCCGTGAGGTCACGGAAAAAGTTCATAAAGTTGCAGCCTTATAAATGAATAATAAATTCACTAAACCTCAGAATATTTTACAGCTTCCTTTCTTCAAGAGTAAATCCCTAAGGTAATGTTATGAAATTTATATTTGTTACTGCTATCCAAACATTAGTAGGCCTCACCCTGGCTAAAAGAACTACTTGCAAGCCTGCTGTGGTTGCCCAAGAGCTCAGTAACATATGCAATTGCCACCCCACCCCTTCAAATCAATGTTATCTAAATTATATGCTTTTAAAAATCAGCATTATCTAAATTATAGGCTTAGTAACATAGATTTTTAAATGTAGATTTATACATACCTGTGTTACGAGAGAGTTTTTTTTTTTTTTTGCATAATTAATGATGGATCTGCAAACAGCCTCTGGTATTGATTGTATAAAATGTATATTCCTGCTAATGATAAAAGTTGGTGACATGATCAGTTCTTTCTTTATCGAATATGAATCTTGACTTAATTTGAATATAAATTAAAAGGCTTACCTTTGAATCCACTGCAATCCTTATGTTAGCTGTCACGTGGATGTCTTAGGTAGTAATATTTAGTTCTTTTTGAAATAAATTCTGTGATAGTCGAAGACTGATAATACAATTTTGTTTTGTGCAGCAGTATTTTTATTTATTTTTTTTAAGTTTCTCCAAAAAAAAAAAAAAATCCAGGAAAGGAAATGCTACTGAATGTAACTGCCAGTAGAATATATCTCTAATTTATATTTTTTTTAGAGCAAAAACAGGTTTTCGATTTAAGGAAAGAATGGAGAGAAAGATGAGGAGAGAAATCTTCAGTATTCATGATTGGGGGGTTGTCGAGATAAAGTCGAAAAACTTAGGAACAAAACCTCTGAATCCTTAAAATTCAACCCTTTCTCTTCAAAGGAAAAAAGTCTTTACTAAAATAAAATGTCCATTTAAAGAGCAAAGAATGGATGAACCTTAGAGAATATGGGAAAACGAAGTGTTTACCTCTTCTCACTCCCTAAATGTTTTTTAGACATCATTCTGTTTTTGGAACTTTTAACGAATAAAATTATTTCTCGATTTATATACTACAATTCTATCTGCAAATTGTCACTCTATATATGATGATGGCCAAGTATTAGCGAGTTTAAAACCATCTACTAATTAAACATTCCCTGGAAATTAAGGCTATATCACTTATAACATCTAGATATACAGTATGAATCCTGCATATGTGTGCACACTTTTATATCATATACACAGTTGTTGATTTTCATTCATATTTCCTCTTGGATATCTAATATCGAACCACTTTTTCTGATAAAAAAATCATTTTGAAAAATTTCATTTAATACTTTGGAAGAAACAATCACAGGCATGAATTTCAAAAATTAAGAATAGCTGTTTATCCACCTTTAATTTGTACTGAATTAATACTTTTTGGTATTAGGCTCTAGATAATAGGCTTTGAACTTTTGCTAGTCTCAATTTTCTTTTTCAAAAAAATATATTACTGAACAAGACACAGCTTCCAAATCCAAAGGAACTTCATATATAAATGTTTATATCAAAAATTTGATGTAATATGTCGTTTCAACAAATATGTAAAGTATGAAATCTTATATACACATAATTAGCAAATGTGAGCTTTCTCAAGATACTTGACCTTATATATGTATTTTTTGTATGCTTATCCACAGCAAGATAAATAATTGTCAGGCTTTTGAATTTAACTATGAAAGTCCCATTTTGGGAAAAAATCAAAAGCTAAGAACCGTTCAATATGGAATAAGATGCTACATCACAATAACTTCTTTTAATAGCGATGACTGTATTTCTGAATATACCTTTATTTAATTAGACAGATTTATTTAGTAACTGTATTCAGTAAATCAATTTAATTATATAAATTAAAAGTGTATTCAGAAATATAGTTATCGCTATTAAAGTGTTAGGCTCTAGATAACTGTGATGAAATCAAAGGGAAGGAATTTCACAAATGAACTTGGCATATTTTATGAGTACACTGAGTACTGTTTGCATACCGTATAGCAACGAGAACACTTCTAAGCCGCCTAATGTCACTCTCTCATCCAAACACACAAGTTAGGGCTATTGCATCACTGAACAAACTGTCACCTACGTTACTGATTTGTTCCTGAGTCCTCTTCAGCCTCTGTAACTCAGGAGTGTCTGTAACGACGCTGAAGGCCCTTCCTTTGCTTTCTTCGAAATCTCTTTTGTACTTGACCTAAAAGGAGAGATGAAAGAAAGAAAGAAAAAGGAAAATAAACAGAGGAGTCACAAATCCCTCTCAGGATAGGTCTGGGCCAAAGAAGCTGCTAAAATTGGAGGCGATGCCTCCAGACACAGGTCTATCAGCAAGCGACACAGTGAGAGGCAGCGGACCATAGCCAGACTGCCTGGTTTGTATCCCAGCAACACCACCCACTGTGTGACCCAACGCAACTTACTTAACCACTCTGTGCCTTGGGCTCTAATCCATAAAATGGCATCGACAATAACAATATTTAAATAATGTAATTTAATAGACAGTAAGGATAGGACCAAATCTCCTAATACTCGTACCTGGACAATAGCAAGCAAGCAAGTGCTCTGTAATAGTTACTATTATTATTATCACCAATAGTTGCACTACTGCTAAAGAAAAAGAAAAGAAAAAGAGAAGAAAGCTTAATCTTCTGCTCCTGTGTCCATCTCGTCAGTAACAAAGTATCATGTTGAGCCTGGTCTGTTCTATGGAGAAGGAAGACATACAAAATTCTCCACAGCTAGCCCGGTCCTTACAAAGTTTTCATTCTATTTCATCAGGCAAAGCATGCAGACATGATTGTACAATGCAGTAATTGCTACATGTCAAGTATGTAAATGCTTATGGAAATATTTATGAAATAGGCCACACCTAGAGATTAAAAGACTTCAAGCACATGCCTTTGGCATACTGTGTGCTGAGGTACCTAAGATTTTTTTTCGGTATTTAAATTTACTTCTTTTCTAATTACAACCCAGTGAAGCTGAATTTTACAGTTTACTCTAGGGACCAGAATAGCTAATGCTTAATCTTACTAGAGCCCAATCTTCTATTATTAGCATAATGATAATAGCTGTCACTCCAGTGAAATATTCTGCTTGTTAATGACTGAGCTGGGTACATCACTTTGACTGTTCTTATTTCTTTAAAGGCCTAAATAGCAAAAGAATATGGAAACGCAGTTTTGATAGCCCATTTTACATTCATAATTATCAGCCTCAAATTAAAACTTAAATTAATAATTAACATTAGGGGTAGCTAATAAAAGTATGTTTCTGTAAGCGTAACTTTCAGTATAAATTTTAAAAGTTTCCTTAGCTGAGCATGGAATGATTGTTGAGTCATGTTTGTATTCAAATATTCAGTTCTCTCAGGCACTATTGTCCTTGAGGCTACTGGGAGATTTCTTTTTACCAGAAAAGCTTAAATGAAAAAAAAAAAAAATTCCAGATGACAACAAATACACCGATCTAGATACTCACATCACTTTAAGCTTAAAAATACCTAATTTTCTCCACGTATTGTCATTTAAGTTTATAAAAGTACTAAAACCCTTACGTGAACTATTTCCATAAATTAAAGGTCAAATAAACCACATTATTTTTCTTCCATGGAAAATGCTGAATGAGATTAAACTTCTAACCCTCAATCTCCCAGCATGTGTGAAAATACACACACCGGTGTATTCTCAGTGTTTTATGCCTAACTAAGCAGGGAAGCCATTTAGCTTTGCTTGAAATAAGCACTAGGGTGCAAAATATAATATAATAACAAAGATGACAAGGTTATAATAGCAATGAGCATGAAAAAAGTAGGGGAAAAAAAATCTATAAACCAAGTTCTAACATCTTTTACGCTGGTTCCAGAGAAGACACAATCACATATTTTTCTGTGATTAGTTGAATTTTTAATGGCAATTTCTAAAGAAAAAAAACTAAAAAGAAAAACCATTAAATCCCCAAATCATAGCTTTCGAGTAGATTACCATTTAACAGTCCTTTCCACATTCATAAGACGCATAAGGATCATGATTTGGGCTTGCACCAAGCGACTAGTTTTAAAGAGTATACGACCATCTCCATAAATGGTTTGCAGAGTTTCAGAAGATGTGTAATCTTTTTGTAATGGCGTGATCCATAACCAAGCCTTATATAGTCTAAGCACCAACTCACCCAATCTTTACTGCATACAGAGAGCCTTCGAGCCGGTAGTTAGTGCCTCTCTTTCCCATATTCCCACCCTCTTACATCCTAGCTCTTAGATCTACAACACGTGAATCTTGGGGTCAAGGGCATAACCTTACTCATCTTTGTAATCTCAGGACCCAGGTTAGCACCTGGCCTACAAGAATTGATCAATAAATGATCAAGAAAGAGGAGGATGGAGGGAGAAGGGGAAAGGAAAAGAATTGGGGTGGAAGCAGAGAGCGAGGGAGGGAGGCCCCGTTCCAGAGGTAAGAGCGGAAGCTCATTTTCAGGGACTGGAAAATGAATCCATTTGACTGCAGCCTCTGGTGGACGACAAAGAGCCAGGAAATGAAGCTAAGAAATATAGATCTAGACTAGATTTGGAAAGAAATTGCTGGCCATAGTTCCTCACTCAGTCCATGTGGGGCACTGTAATAAAAATGCCATAGACTAAGCAGCTTATGAACAACAGAAATTTATCCCTCATAGTTCTGGAGGCTGGGAAGTCCAAGACCAAGGCCTGGGCAGACTCAGCGTCTGGGAAAAGCCCACTTCCTGGTTTGCAGACTGCCCTCTTCCACCTTATGGAGTGGGAGGGGTCGGAGGGCTCTCCAGGGTCCCTTTTACAAGGGCACTAATCCCAATCATGAGGGCTCTACCTCCTTGACCTAATCACCCCCCAAAGGCTCCACCTCCTAATACAGTCACCTTGGGGATTAGGTCTCAACATGTGAATTTGGGCAGGGACGCAAACACTCAGACCATAGCAAGTGCTCTTGTATATTAATTTATTCAACATTAACTCAACAAGTATTCATTGAGCCTCATATAAGTTAGAAACTCTTGCTCTTTCCTCAGTAAAAATGCCTTCCTTTTCCCTTATGCTTCAGCATTGGATGTGAAATCATCATCATTTCTGATCTCTTATCTACTCTCCTGTTAAAAAGTATTTCATGATGATATTATGAATAATAACGGCAGTATTCTCGAAATGCCATGCTCTGGAAACTCCCCCTCAAATGTTCACTCACTCAATCCTTTGTTCATTCAACAAATGTTTATTGAGCACCTACCATGTGCCAAGTATGGTTCCAGGGGTAGGAACAAGGCAGCAAAGAAAAGAGTCAGCAATCCCACCCCTCAGCGACCTCATATTAATAGTGGGAGAGACAGAAAAGACATAAGAAGTGGAATAAATGGTAAGAGAAAAATAAAGCTAGAAAGCAGTTGAGAAGGCTCAGGAATGCTGCCCTTTTAGATAGGGTGGTGGTCAGGGAAGTCCCCAGTGAGATGGTGACATTTCAGTAAGACCTGAAGGAAGCGAGAGCTGTATGCAGAGCAGCGACATGCTGAACTTCCGGTTTAACAGGCTCTTCCTGGCCACTGTATTAACCCACTGGAGTGAGCAGGACAGAAGCAGGAGGCTAGTTAAGGGGCAGGCAATTTTGGTCCTTCTTTCCCAGCCATCTACTATTAAAGAATTGTCCAGGGTTGACAAAAGGCAGAAAGAGTCCTTGGGCCCAGCCAGCCTCAGACCAAACCTCACCGGCCAGGTGAGCTGCACACTCTTGTTGGAATAGGGCAGGAAGGACACAGGAGGAAGACTCAAGATGCCACCGTGAGTTCAGAAAAGTAATGCGGTCTTCGTTCCCTATGGGCTTATCCCTTCAAAGCTCAATAATGGCCCTTTGAAAATGCATTCTTAAAGTCAATGTAAGAAATATACACGATAGGCAATTTGATTGGCCATATTCTTCATAAGTAACTTAAAAATGCATTTCAAATATTAAGTTCTACCTGATATTGACATTCCTTATGTGTATGTATATGCATGTGTACGCACACATATAAATATTGATCTTCCTGTACTACAGATTAGAACCTTAAAGCAAGAATCAAAAGTCTTGAATTCAAGCCCTAAATCTGTTCTTTGATCTTGATTTGTTCAATGTCTCTAACACTCCTGATCCTCAGCTATAAAATGGAAAAAGAAAAAAAAAAATAGCAACATGCTACACAATGTATAGAGGATTAACAGAAATGATATGTGAAAACATCAAGCAAGGACACACCCTAATTAGGTCCTTAGCAAATACTAGTTTCCTCCTCTTACTACATTTCAAAAATGACCTTTGTTGCTTAAGTGTGATCATTTCTGTCACAGGGTGCATGCTCAGTGATATTTTATGTTTGGAGCCATCAGCAAGTAACATTGAGAAGTTCATACAGAGAGAGGGGCTGGAAACCACGGTGGTTCTGGCCCAGTGGAAGAAAAAGTTTCACTGTAATAGAAAAAGAAGACTTTTAAAAAGCAAAATAGTGAGCAGAGTTGCAAACTGAATTATTTGCTAATCCTGAGATATAAGTTCTCTGCCCCAAATGCTGCACGTACATAATTATTACTATTATAACAATATAAATAAATGTAGAAAATGAAGAAGAAGACCATTCTTAGGCAGAAAGCCATTTCTTATGAAAGAAGCCAAGTGGAACCAGAGACTAGCAAATTGTTGAATGATGAACTAAAAGAAATTAAATAAGTTTGAGCAATAAGATGGATATAGCTCAGCAGCTCCAACCCCAACTATGTTCTTCTCCAAAGAAACCCTTGACCGTGAACATGTCAAGAACAACATGTTCATAATAACATTGTTTATATTATCAAAAAATTGGAAACAACCTAGATATCCATCCAGAGGAGAATGAACAAATTATTGTATCTTCCCACAGTGGGATATTAGCCAAGTGTGAAAATGCACTACAGCTCCGTGGATCCATATGGATGAATCTCAAAAACATTCGGATGAAGGGGGTAAAAACCAAGGCATACATATAAACGTGGCAAATAAATGGGGAGAAAGGGACTTGATAAACATGACATCCATGGGAGATGTGAGATCTGCTTATGGAAGGGGAACTTCGTGGTGATGTTCAAGTTCATAAGTTGGAGGGTAGATTCACACTTAAAACTTTCATGTACTTTCCATATATTCTTTTGTATTGATCAAATAT